GAAAATGCAACCATAGAGCCCTTGGAGCTGGATGGACCTCTAAGATTTTATTGAGGTGCCTCCAAGTCCTGAGGTTAAAAACTTTATTGTTGGTCTAACTCACCTTTAGCAACCAAAATATGATTAAACTCACTGTTTTTTGGTAGCACCTGAACTCCCAAGTCAACTCTCGATTAGTAATCAGTCACGTAGCACACCCAAGATAACGACCTGAAATGAAAAAAACTTTAAACTTTAAACTTATAGATCTCATCAAGTGTTATAACTTTTATGTAAAAATATCTTCATTTGACACCGTACAAAAAAGATAAGATTTTTCCAAGGCGACAAGAGCTTGTACGCGATTAATACGATGCTGAAACTTTATATTATTTTTTCTGAACATCTTAGTGATCTCAAATGCAAAAACTCAAAACTATAAATTTGTAGATCCCATCTAGAGCCACAATTTTCATATAAAAAGTATCTCCACTTGACTCCATATAACAAAGATATGATTTTTCCAAGGCGACAAGCGCTTGTACACGATAAATATACGGCTGAAATTTTGTTTAATTTTTTTTAGCATCTTAACGACCTCAAATGGAAAAACTCAAAACTAAAATGTTGTAGATCTTGTCGATAGCTACAATTTTAATATAGAAAGTATCTCCATTTGACTCCATATAACAAAGATATGATTTTTCCAAGGCGACAAGCGCGTGTATGCGATTAATTTTTTTGAGCATCTTAACGACCTCAAATGAAAAAACTCAAAACTCGAAAGTTGTAGATCTCATCGAGGAGAGATTATTTTGGTACACAAATTTGGATGAGCAATAGGAATGCCCGAGTATCCTACAGATTTAACCATCTTGAATGAGTAAGAGAAGATGGTTCGAGGAGAGATTACTTTGGTACACAAATTTGGATGGACTTAGATTAGGCATGACTGTGGGGGTGGTTGAGCGGGGTGGGTTTAGTAAAGAAAGTTTTGGTGTATTTTATAGAGGTGTAGAGATGAGGCTTCTCCAACCTTATATGTCGGGTTGGTTCTTGTGTAAATTTGAATGCATGTGCTTAATAGTTGAGTTGGGCTGGTTCTTGTGTTCTATTCTTTCTTGGTTGTCATGTTAGTTCCATTTGTTTTGTTTGTGTGTGGAGATTTTCCTGCCTAGAACACCTTGTTGTATAAGGGTTAAAAGTTCTCGGTGTTTCTAGAAAATCCCTGAAACTAAATACTTTAAAAGCTCTTGATGTTTGTAGTTTTATACTGTAAGGGTTAACTAAGTCATGTCTAAAATGGCAGCTTGCATGTGTAGTTTTATATATACTAGTAATATGCTCGTGCTAACTGACAAGAATCAAACATAGTGATATGTTAAGTCCCCCACTAGCACAGAAAAGTTTTTTAGGGGCGGTTAAAATCGATCTTTAGAAGCGGTTTGAAAAATCGCTACAATGCCATTGTCCGTAAAGATAGAGCATTTGTAGTGTTGGGCATTTAATCATCCCTGGAAAAGCATTTCTAGGGGCGGTTGCATTAGGAGAACCCCCTAATAATCTATTTTAGGGGCGGTTGTTGTATGAGAACCGCACAGTGGCAGTTGCTGCACTGCAACCGTCCTTGAAAATGGTTTTACAAGGATGGCTATGGCAATGCAATAGCTTCTAAAAGCACATTTTTAGGGGGCTGTTGGCTTAATCAAACCGTCCCTAAATATATATTTACAAGTGCGGTTCACTAAACCGTCAAAATCAGTTTCAAATTTTTGGAATTTGAACTGCCATATTTGAAATCAGGTTTCCCACCAAATTTCAGAACCGAATGCAATTGATTCAAATTAACTTCATATATACATAGTAGTGAACTAGTTAACTGATACACACATGATCAACAAAGTATTTGTAGCAATACTAATAGTGAATCCTTATTTATGTTATTATTAGCAGTCATGATTAATTTGTTATCTAGTCATTCTATGTAAGCACCTGTTCTACTTTCAAGCAAGAGTTGAGCAAGCACTGAGAACACAAAGTAGGAGCGTAACAATGTGCCAAGTGACAATTTTTTTTGTCGTGAAACCAGCATTCATGAGAGTTTGGCTTCAAATCAGTCTATAAACTGCCAGGTAGCATCCTATGTATGCCGTGGTGTGAAGTGCAATATTCTCAATAGTGAAGTAAACCAATGTATAGTCACATGTTTGTGTAGAGAGGGAGCAAACTTATATCAAAATGGGTATCCATCTAAATCTAGTTTGGGAAGAATTTAAAGTGGGTAAAATGCGACAAAAGCATTGGTCGTAGCTAAGGTGATATCCTCTTCGGCTGACAGACTGCACCGTAATCCTGTTTAACCATTTCACCTAAAAATACACCAAGGTTTTTTTATATGTAAGATTAAAAAAAGATACGAACTAGGAAAAATTGGGATAACAATCACAACATCTTAATTTCTTCAGCTATACCATCCTACTGATGCTGGACGCAGAGGAGGACACAGGGTGGCCAAGCCCAGCAAGCAACGGCGTCCCAGCCTCCCAGGGCAGCTGAGAGCTGCCGGCTAGCTATGGCTTCCCGCCTTCTCCTCGCCACCTTGGCTCTCCTCTTCGTCGCAGCCGCCGCGCAGAACAACGAGATCATGCTGCCGGCCTGGCCATCCTGCTCGACGACAGACAACTACACCAACGGCAGCCAATACAAGAAGAACCTGGACCAGCTCCTCTCCAGGATGCCCACGGCGGCCGGCGACAACGGGTGGTTCTACAATGGCACCGCCAGGACGGGGGCTGACGAGGTGTTTGGCCTCATCATGTGCTACGCCGACCGCAACGCGACGCAGTGCCTGGACTGTCTCTCCAGGGCGCCAGCGGGGATCACGACGGTGTACCCGGGCAGCCGGAACGTGAGCGCGGCGTATGACGCGTGCGTGCTCCGGTACTCGGGTACCGACTTCTTGTCCGTGGCCAGCCGCAACGCGGCGTTCTACGTCACCTCGTTCAGCACCGTCGACCAGGCAAGGCTCGAGGACGCGCGCTCGAGCCTGATGAACCAGCTCGCCAGGACGGCCGCCGGCTCGCCGCCGCTGTTCCTCGCGAACGAGAGCGCGCCGCTCGCCGGCTCGTCGGACTCGGTGTACGGGCTCGCGCAGTGCACGCGGGACCTGACGGCCAGCGAATGCAGCTGGTGTCTCACCACATATATCGGTCTCTGCTGCCGGGGAATTTCCCGAACAACACCGGCGGCGCGATCAAGGGGTACAGCTGCTACGTCAGGTACAGTGTCGGCGCATTCGCCATCACCCTGCCGCCGCGCCGTCCGGCGCCACCGCCATCGTCACCGCCTTCTCCGTCGGTGTCGACAGGACTAGTGGTCGGCTTGTCTGCCGCGGGAGCTGCTTCTTTCTTGATCATCCTAGGCCTGTCAGTCAGTTTCCTCCTGCGCCGACGGCGAAAGCGCGCCATGCAGACCATGGAGAGGGATCTGGAAGAGGGCGACGACTTCGTCGGAACGGAGGACGAGTTCGAGAAAGGGACCGGGCCAAAGCGGTTTCGCTACGGCGAGCTTGCCATTGCCACTGACAACTTCTGGGACAAGCACAGGCTAAGAGAGGGAGGGTTCGGGTCAGTGTACAGGGGATTCCTGAAGGAGATGGGTCTCCACGTTGCCATCAAGAGGGTGTCCAAGGGTTCCAAGCAGGGGAGAAAGGAGGCCGGCTCAGGCACCGCAACCTGGTGCAGCTCATCGGCTGGTGCCATGGCGGCAGCGAACTCCTGGTCTACGAGCTGATGCCCAACGGCAGCCTCGACACGCACCTTTACACCGCCAGCGATGACACAGACACACTGCTGCCATGGCAGCTCCGGCACGAGATCGTGCTGGGGCTTGGGTCAGCTCTGCTGTACCTGCACGAGGAGTGGGAGCAGTGCGTGGTGCACAGGGACATCAAGCCCAGCAACGTGATGCTGGACGCGTCCTTCCACGCCAAGCTCGGCTACTTCGGTCTGGCGAGGCCGGTCGACCACGGCCAGGGCTCGCACACCACGGTGCTCGCCGGGACCATGGGGTACATGGACCCGGAGTGCATGATCACCGGCAGGGCGAACGCTGAGTCGGACGTCTACAGCTTCGGCATCGTACTGCTAGAGATCGCCTGCGGCCAGCGGCCCCTGGTGCGTCGCCACGGCGAAGAAGACGTGATCCACATCGTGCAGTGGGTGTGGGAGTACCACAGCAGAGGAGCCATCCTCGACGCCGCCGACGCACGGTTCAAGGGTGAGTTGGAGGCCCGGGAGATGGAGACCGTGATGGTCGTCGGCCTCTGGTGCCCGCACCCTGACCGGAGCCTCCGACCGTCCATCCGGCAGGCCGTCAGCGTGCTGCGGTCTGAGATGCCACTGCCCAATCTGCAGGCGAGGATGCCGGTGGCAACCTATGAGCCACCACCTGATGCCTTCTACTATACATCTACCACTGTCACAAGCGTTAATAGCAGCACCACTCAATCGAGCATGACAATCACAACTGTCCTGCCCAAATGACCTCAGATCATTCGCGACTGCAGAGACAACAAATTGACAATGCCCGGAGATCTTTGGCACACTGCTTTTGAAAGTAATAAGTACCTCATCATGTTCCTTTAAAATACTTTGCAAGTATTATTATTTGTTACTTGAAATTGTTCTTGACCCACCGCATTTATTGGCATAAACTTTATATAGTTATCGTCAAATAATTTCCTGGGTTAAATTAAGTTATCGTTGTCTCTCTTTTATTCCTTTTTTCCGCACTCCTATCTTGTGGCTATATAGTTATTTCTAGTGAGTATAATCAGGGAAGTCTTGAATTATCTCTGGTTGAACTTCATTTCTCGAGAAATCTTATACGACTAAAAAGAACAAAAGTAAAACTATTTTTTTGTGCGATTTTTTTTTCGCTCTTCCCTCCCGTCCTTGCGATACCCTCCCGCGACTTCAATCCAGAATAGGGATCGAGATGGCCAAGCTTCTCTGCTACCTCTACGCCGCCGCCATCGTAGAGGCCCTCCTGCCCTCTCCTCCCCCGCTCTGCCGCCGCGGCGCCGCTGCTCCTCGCCTTCGCCCCGTGGGGCCACGTTCCCCGCCGCGTCCGCCTCCCGCGGCGCTGCCGCCAATCGCGTCCCCGCCGCTGCCGCGCGCCGCGCCCAATGACGTGCCAGTGTGCCAGTCGATGACCACTGGCTCCACTCCACGTGCCAGTGTGCCAGTCGATGACCACTGGTCAGCAGGTTCCCGATTGGGTTGCTGGCGGTCGAGGCCGCGGGCGAGGCGGCAGCGTCGGCCTCGGTCTTGGCCTCGGTGCCCGTGGACTGGTGGCGAAACGTCAACGAGTCGCCGCTGTGGTAGGGTCACATCTTCCAACTTCCATGCGCTTGCCGTGCTCTACGGCATCGTCTTCGCCGTCATGCTGGTAAGCAACCCCACGACCCTTCCCTGCCTCGACCCCAGTCTGGTCCGATCTATTAGAATTGCGCCATCACATGGGAAAACATTTCTTAAGCAAATAGAAAATACCTGACTTCTTGTTAACCCAGTTTGTCTCGATAACATTATCTTTTCGGAATCTTTTGCATACCTAAGAGTGTCAGAGTGTCATGAGAACAAATGAAAAAAGGGGTGAGTGAACACATCTCTAAGCTAAACGGAAAAACTTACGGGTGAAAGAAGTGTTCAAAAAGCCAAGCCCCGAGAATCGAGACTGAATTTTCAGGTAGTCCCCTCTGTGGCCGCCAAGCATTTTGCTGTAGCATACCATACTGTTGGAAAGCTCGCTGTTGCCTTATTTGCTGATCGATATAGCGAAGGCGAGTTAGTTTGCCCTCTTTGCCAGATGTATTGTCATCCTCCCCAAGTTTCTTCCGGATAACACTAATTTGATCATTGATAGCATCCTTTAGACATCGGAAATGCCGTGAGATTGTCTGGAGGGCAACTGCAGTATAAGGCTTGGCAGCTTCAGAACCAGCAACCATATCGAACAATGACATTACAAGTTGCATCTGATGATAATAGTGTTTGTACTTTCGATCCACCTGAAAGCAAATTTCAATTTGATCTTAAAAATTCAGACATACCAGATACCGCATTAGCGAAACAATCAAAACACACCTAGCTCATTCATCTGATCGATCCCATGTTAAGACCATTTTTTTCTTGCTGAGGAAAAAAATTATTTATGCACCCATCTGACATTTTAATGGGGTAACATGACTTTCTGCATTTGGTGGTGATCTTGTCCTGAATAGTTTTGTGGATACAGCTGTTCCTATTCTAAATATGCCCATTGCTTGTTTGGAGGACCTTTAGTTAAAAAACATGCTATCTATAGGTTCAAGCCTTGTTAAATTGCAATGATTGTGGGCACCTAGGCATATTATTAAGAAGGCTAGACTCACCTAAACTAACAACTTTTGACCAGTCCTCCCAGCTTTTTCAAGAACTCAACTCGTGAAGCTCATGGAGCTGAACCATTGTAAATGACCTTTGGATCAGGAACCAACTATTGGACTCAGTATTTAGGCCACAACTCAAACAGAACCGATGGGGTTGGGATTCCTCAAGTATTTTTCTAAGAACAGAAGGCAGAAAATGGAGTTGACTTCTGACATATGAGAAAAATTAATATGCAGTCGTCCCTAGATAAAGTATTAGTTTATCAAAATTCATATTAGAATATCAAAATGATTATAGGTGAAACTAATCTTTGCAAACAAGTCTATCGATCTTCACGCGGATTACCTCTACACTCACAGTGACAAATCTAGCAAAAGCAAACGTTATAATACTGTAAGTTTGGTTTTTAATGGTAAGGTACAAGTGCAATAGAACACACACCTCGTCCAACATTGCCATAAGTTTCGCCATCTTATTCTGGAGCTCTTGTTTCTCAGCAGTCGAAAGCTCAGCTGCTGCATTGGCACCAGACTCTTGTGGATCGGAAGATACTCCCTCACTTTTAGTCCCCCCATCAGTCTCTTTTCCATCTGCCTTTCCTGCTTCAGCAGGGCCTTTATCTGTTTTTTGTTTAACACTCCTCCAAACACTGACAATCTCATCTAGCAACTCCTGTGCTGCCTTCAGATACTTAGAGTTCCGGATTGCCTGTGAGGCCTCAGACTGCATATTCTTCATTCTGTTGTCATCACCCTGGTAAGAATTTGGTGTCAGTAAATCTTGCTTTGCAGACCAGTATGGATAGGAAGGCGCCAAGATATGTGTATTGAGGCTCAGAGACAGCCCTTGGCCTGGTGCTGATGGAACACTTGAGTTGTGGTTGTTTAACATGCCAAACTCGAGCTGTGCAGTGCTATGGGCATCATTGTGGATGAGATCACTGCCACCGCTGTGTGCACCATCCATCAAATGCATCAACATCTCATTTCTCATATCTTTCAAAGGACCAAAAGAGTGCTGCTCTGTGAGTGAAGTGCCCATGTTAGTAGCTTCATTGGATGATGAATCATGCGACATTGCTGAAGGATGACCAGTAAGTTCCATGAAATTCTGCTGAGGCTGGACAATTCCACTAAATTCTGTATAAGGTCCAGAAGATGCATTGTTCGGATAAAGGAAGTTCCCAAGGGCTGATGGCACGGGATATGATGCATTGCCTGACTCTGTTGAGTACATTGTTTGTGAATCTCTTTCACTGCCAGGGCTCGAGTAATAAGTAGCCATATCCCAGCTTTGACTACTCAGTTGTAAAGATTAGTGCAAAGGCATAGGCAAGTGTGGAGAAGCAATTACAGAGCCCTCGGAACCAATATTTCTGCGGACTTGCCTGCACTTTGGGAAATGGAAACAGTTAGAACAAAATTCACTAAATTATTAAAGAACTATTCTGTAAATATACAGCAATATAGCAGATGACAAAACAGAAATTTCATTCGTTGTAAAATAATAGGGAAAGGCCTCCAAGAAAAGGTAGGGTGAAAGAGCTAAACCATAAACTGGTTCTGCCACTTTTACAGAGGTAAAATCATCAGAGACAAAGACTGCACACAAAGGCCAGTCACTACTGTGAGACCCAGGGCTAGACCCTCAGTTTTGGCAGTAGTTATCACTTCTTGTTCTTTTCTCTAACATTTCTGGAGAACAAACAGACCCCATGTTCATCATATGGAAAAATATAACTGACAAGGTAAGACACTGGTTTGGGACCTATAGGTGGTACAGGTGGTCCTTCATCCATGACATTAGCTAAGTTGTTGGCTTTTTGCTCTCCCTTACAAAGAGGATGAGAATGTGGTTGAGAATTCCTTCTGTTTCACCAAAATAATGCAGCCATTCAAGGCGCCCAACCAGAAATTCCATTCTATTACACATAGGCAAATTGCAAGATTAAAAAGGGCGTACCCAGTGCAGAGAGCTCTCGCTTTGTGCGGGGTTTGGGGAAGAGTGTCAGTGGCAAGCCTTACCCTCGCCTGTGCAATACGAGGAGACCGCCACTCGAACCCGGGACCTTCCGGTCACAGGCTGTAAAACTCTACCGCTTGCACCAGGCCCGCCCTTCAGGCAAATTGCAAGATTGCTGACAAAAAAAATTGATTTCGAGGAGGGAAAGTTTTCTGAACAAGACATGCTTGTAAGATATCAATACCTTTTTCAATCACTTGGCTTATGACTGAAGTGCGTGCTAGGCTTATTAGAGCTCCTTCACCAGCTCGGCGCGCCAATAGAATGAATCCTTCTGCAGAATCACTCTGAAGGAAGAGATGAAATAGCATGAGATCTCTAGCTCGAAATTACCTAGAAGAGACGGGGATGCTTCACTGGTCGTTTGCAGCTGTAATTTTCACTTTTTTAATGATATGAAAGAGGTGGAGCCAGGAGAAATGTCCTAGGCAAAACTTTGTTTTCACAGACAATGAAAATAAGAGAGCGCTTCAGCTCGGACAAAAAAAGGAGCTAATAATTCCATCACATAAAGTATATAGAGAGAGTAATTAAGGGAGTAATACAACACAAGAGCCACCTCCATAAAAGAAATGAGGAGAATGATCGGAAGAAAAGAAAAGGAACCGTGCTTTAAGAGCATGGCTTTCATGCAGGCATCCAAGGAGATAAAAAGAAGAGATTCAAGTATCCGCAGCAAATCCAAAAGGGCTCCACCGCAATCAAGCTCAATTCTATCATACCCGCAAAAAGAGACCTCTACCGGTAGCTGACGAATCAACTAGAAACTCAGAACTGTGCAATATCAAACGGCAATAATCAAGCTACCAAGCACCACCAAGACATGCAGAATTCAAGAAATTAAGCAAGAATTCTGAGCCCAGGTGAAGACGAGGGGATGATTTTTCCAAGCACTCACATAGAAAAAAACAAGAATTTTGAGGTCGGAAGGTAAATGAGGACCATGAATTCAGCAGCCTGAGCTCAATACCTGCACTTCCACAAGAAAGGCAACTCAAAACAACCGCAAGAACCCCAAGCCACAGGAATTTCCCGATGAAGCTCTAGAAGCTACAGATCCCCAAGCCAACTCAAGAACCCCGCGGACACCAAGAACCTTCACAATTTAGAGAGACCAGGTATCCCCCCACAGCCCTCATCAAGAATCAAGAAAACCCTGTGCTCTAGCACAAGCAGCATATAATTGAGAGGAGACCAACCAATCATTGGGGTCATAACAGCACCCATGGGAACCAAAAGGATTGGTTGCACCCACCGAAATCGGACGAGCCACAATTCTAGAAGCAGAGAAGAGCAAGAGCCGGAGCAAGCAAGCAAGCCGAATCAAGTAACCAGGGAATATGCGGCAAAAGAATTTCTGTCACTGCTGCTGGTGCTGCAACCAACAGGCAGAGGAGCTAATGATGCGAAGGCGATTGATTAAGCAATAGGAAAATGGAGGCAGACCTGATGGTGTGCTCCTCGTGAGGAGCATGGCAAGACGGCAGGGATTGCTGTCACCAGACCCGAGCCGATGGTCAGACTTGGGAGGAGGACCGCTCTCACCAACAACACCCCTCCGCCGACTGCCCTCACCAACACCTGTGACCCCCCACGTGACCAGGGAGCCGGACCGCCGCCTCTGAGGACCGCCGCCACGCCGTCGCTCCCGGCTCCTGGTTCTCGCCGACCACCAGCATCCACGTCGATGTCCATATCTACGTCCCTGATCCGGCTCGCCCGCATCTGCGTCGCCAGATCTTCATCGAGCCCTTCACCGGCGACGAAGACCCACGGCAGCAGAAGCCGGGAGGGCACCTGCGTGTCCCTCCCCCCGATCCGGCTCGTGTCTTCGTCGGTCATGCTGTGCCGCCAAATCCTCCGCTCCTGCCGCACTTCCACCTCCCTCCTGTCCTACGAGGAGCACCACCCGGTGTGCCAATCCCTGCTCTTCCCTTCCTGCTGTGCAAAACCGAGCACCCAAACTCTACCTAACCTCGATCTAATTACATGTGTGTACATGTATTATGCAAACCACCTAAATTTTCATGTAACCATATCTTAAGGGCCATGTGATTCAGATCATCAGCTCTTATGTCTTATGGAGCTGTACTCGCTAGAAAGTTTGAGCAGCTTATATATGAAGGGCATTGTTCTAGCAGTGACCAAATACCAAGATGGGAATAGGATTGGGATACATTCTTAGAAATTAGGAGCTCATCGTTTGGTGTCTAGGACTACGATATACATATAGGGTTTAAATGCAATCTGATTTTGCAGTTACGGTAGAGCTTCCTTAAGTTGTAGTGCAGCATAATTCAACGAAGATGTAATGGAAAATAGATTACTGCTGATGTGTGTTTTCTGCTGCTAGAGGACTGAAATGTGCTAGAGGCTTCGAACTCCATTTTTTGTCGACCTGCTGCTAAGAGGACTGAAATATGCTAGAGGCTTAAAACTCCATTTTTGGTCAACCTAGAAATGGATATCGGAGATTTTTTTCCTGCCGATATAAAACATTATCTTAGGCGCATCACGGAAAGATCTATAAAGTAGAGTTTGTAAGCCTGTGACGCCGCGCTCTCCGTGACTGTTAATTTCATAAACTTTGCTTTTTTGATTAACTATAACTTTAGCGTTGATATTTAATTTTTACAATATTGTTATGTTATCGTGCGATCGGTGTGTTTTTAGTATAAATTGTTAGCTATCCCGTAGCAGCGCACGGACACACTACCTAGTAACTATCCAAGTTCCTTAGCTCTCTTTTCAAATTTAATGTTTTGAATCTTGGAGAGATCTGTAGTTTCCTTTTTGCTATAAAATATCATGGTGTTAACCATAATGGAGCTCAATTCTGTTGGTGCCATTTTCTGGCTCAAGCATGCATGCGTTGGATGGCCTGATATCGTACCAACATCCACAGGCGCCTTAAGGCTTCCAAAACCATGGAACCATCGCTAATGGCAATGAGCTGTTAATCTGAGACCTGCTACCATGCCACTCACACTATTATCGACCATGCCATGACCACGTTTGTTTTCTCTTGTGACTAACTTCTCGCAAAAGAAGGTGAAATAATTTTTTTTCTCGAATACGCAAAAGATTTGTGTATCATTGTAATTAAGAAGAAGAAGAGTTTAACCATACACACGACTCGCTTCTAATGAGCGCCCTAGGAGGTCTTACAGTTGTGACTGGACCTTCCTAGCAGACTGTTTTAAACTTCGATATTACATAAAAGTAAACAACCGAATTAAGGGCAGCGCAGTAACCTACGGAGTTTGGCGTCTCCGCTACTGGCCGCGCGATTCTGCTCTGTCATCCGAGATGAGTCTTCTACTAGTCGAAGCATTGGTCGCCGGGAACAGCACGTCCAGTGCTTCCACTTCGCTCGACGTCAAGTTCCTTGCGAAAAAGTCGTCGTAAGCACTCTTGGACGCGGATGAGATTGCAGCTGCCAGCGGTGCAAAGCCCATCGTCCACATGAGGAGCACCTCGCCTCGCTTGGAGGTCGGAATGTCAGCCAGTGGCTGAGCTGCAATCCGTCTGCTCCGTTTTGGCATGGGTTGCCTTACGGTTGCCACCTTACATGCAGGTGGGTGGCGATTAATGGAGGAGATTCGCCGAGCTGCACCTCCTCGGTGAAGCTGTGGCGAGCGTCGGGCGCTTCGGCGTGGTGTGGGCGAAGCGTCGGCTGGGGTGGTGCAACCTCACGACGTCGGGTGCTCCCGCTCATGGTGGCGTGAGTTGTGGCGGCCCCGACCGGGCGACATCGAGAGACAAGTCTATCGCCCATCGGCGGCCGTGCCGCCGGGAACGGTGTCAAAAGATCGGTGCTTCAACCTCGAGGGCTGTCGAGCGCATGCACACACTCGTGTTGCCGCTCATTGGCCGGCTCACGACGAAGCGAGGCGGCGAAGCTCTCCAAAGATCGGGTCGAAAGAGATGACCAATGCGGGAGGCCCCGCACTCCACGACACAGCCGCCAGCGCCACACCGGATCGCTCGGGAAGCTTAGTGAAGCAAGAGAAGTAGGTGCCTTGTCGGCGTGGTCGGCAAAGCGCTGCGCGCTGCCGATCTCCTTCGGCTTAGTGTTGCGTCGCCGATGTTGTCGTCGTCTCCACCGGCGCGCCCATATGGCCCCGTTGCGGCACCCTCGCGCAGGGCGCATGTGAGCTGGCGGGAGGACGAGGGTCGTCGCGAAAATGTAGTACCGTGGTAGGTTGGCACCCACCGCCGCCAAGGTCGAAGCAGTCCTTCGCCTGCAGTCCTTGACGAGGTGCCCGAATCTGCAACAGCGCAGGCAACGTCGTGGCAACCGACAAGTCGCTACTCGGTGCGAGTAGGAAAGGCAGTTGAAGCATCTGCCATGAAGCTGTGCCAGGATCTTCTTGACCTGCGAAAGTTGCTTTTGGCTGGGGCGAGGCTCCGTCGAGGCAGCAGCAGATCCTGTGACCTACCGGGGGAGGATCTCACGCCACCCATCGGTGTTGGGGGCGGAGACCCGTCCACGGCGGTTGAGGCGTTGGTGGGCAGGGACATGGCCATCCACTGGCCACACAGGCAAGCCGTTCACCAGCTGCAGGCGTGGCCGGCTGCGCTTCCTCCGCCTACGGCCATGTCCCTGTTGGCCCCATTCAGCACCAGCACGGTCGTGCAAAGGCCCCGCTCCATGGCGCCCCAAAACTACGGCTGAACTAGTCTGGGGGCGCACGGGGGACGCTGAGGCCGACTTCGTCGGGTGACGAGCGGTCTCCAGGTATGTCGCGGGGTGGTCGTCATCGGTCTCCTCCTCCTCCTCGTCCGCCCACCGCCGGCTCTTCGAACGTCCTCCCGAGGAGCATCCGGGGAAGAACGGTGTCACGGCCGGCGAGAGGGAGGAGCTTGAGGCGTCCAGCGATGCCCTGACGGTACCCCAAGGCCTGGGTGTGGCCGCGGCGTTGCTGGCATATAGCCTCAGCGGCGGAGGGGATGAAGCGCCAGAGCTGGCCCCCTCGGCCGTCAGCGGTGCGGTCGTGGTGGCGTCCGTGGCGGTGTCCTCATCCCCCGGCGGCGTTGGCGCGGGCTCCACGGGAGGAGGCGGCGGTGGAGCGGCCGAGCTGTCGGCGTGAGCCGCCCTGGCGCCGGTGGAAGCCGCGTGCGTCGGTGATGGCAGGGGGGCGGGGTTTGCTGCGCCACCAGTTGATGAGGCCCGAGATCCGAAGCCTGCCACCGGTGGGCCGTCAGATCTGACGGGCTGGATGCCGAGGGCGGCAGCGGTAGGGCCCTGCGGGCATGGCGGCGACGGCGTGGTAAAGAACGGCACCGCGACGCCAACAGTGCAGGGCAGGGGAGGGGGAGAGGGAGGCGGAGGAGGAGGTGGTGGGGGGGTTGTGGGGGCGCCGACGCTGGGTGGCGGCCGCACAAGGGTCGAGGCACTATCTTGAGCTTTTCATGCTTGTCTATCGATGAATTGATGAACCAGTTGCACATAGCACGTAGGACGTCGATAGCCAATATGCATAATCAGAGCAGCCAAAACATGTTAATCCTTATGTCAATTCATTCAAATTTAAGCTATGGTAGTTGGAATGGACATGTTTTGTTTTCGCTTTGTCGATGTCAACGATGCTGTCAAAATTTTTCGGCCAAGAGGACAGGCTAAGATGGTGAGCGCAGTGGGGGGAAGGAGCTGCATGAGTACTGAAAAGTGCATCGATGTTTTTTTATGGTGTACAAAGACATTGGTGTCCAAGCGTGCGACGCTGATGCAACCGTATCTAGCAGATGTAGGGATGAAAACGGATCGGATACGAACGGATATCACTCATATTATATTTGTTTTCATATTTCTGTTCGGATTCGGATTCGGACACGGATAGCGTTTGGATACATATATGAATACGGATCGACTCGGTTACGGATACGAATAATGAGTATCGAATACGGTATGAATCGGACTCGGAGAAGGTCGGATACAAATATCTATTCGGATATTGAGTAAAAGCAGCATATATATATATATATCATACGTGCGCAAACCATTACACCACTCTATGAGTCCATAATCCATCTAGATTAAGCCGAAAGACTAAAGAGTAAAGCAACAAATAAGATAAAGATACAGATACATCATACATCAAACATCATATAAGCACCAATCTTCGCGGCATGAGTAGAAATAGCCAAGCACATTGCTTCATGGGTCTCATGGAGTCATGGTCATGGATTCAAGATCTACAATCCTTATATAGGCCATTTTTTCATTTTGAGAAAGTTTGAACAAAATGTAGTTCAAATTTCACAAGTGTGTGACATAGTTTTAGAAAGTCTGTATGAGATTTAAGAATTTGTGACTAGTGTTTGATAAAACTTTCTCAAATGGGAAAATGAGCTATGTAACAATTGTATATCTTGCTGAGATGATCAAACTTGGTATTCAGAGTTTTTTCATCTGAGGTCATTTAGTGTCTCATTTGAGCAAGTTTGACCAAGTCAAATTTGGTCAAATAAAAAAACAACACTTTGACTCTAGTATTATGAACTCTAAATGACTTCAAATTGAAAAGTTTTGAATACCAAGTTTGTTCAACTCATCAATATCTACAATTCTTGTTTTGGTCAACTTTCCATTTGAGATAGTTTGGACGGTTCAAATTTGTGATTTTTAAATTTCGATGCTTACAAACTAGTTTTCGAAACCCTAGATTGTCTCAAATTGAAAAGTTTTGAATACCAAGTTTGTTCAGCTCATCAAGATCTACAATCCTTATATAGGCTATTTTTTCATTTGAGAAAGTTTGAACAAAATGTAGTTCAAATTTCACAAGTATGTGACATAGTTTCAGAAAGTCTATATGAGATTCAAGAATTTGTGACTA